CGCCCTTCATTTTACTCTGGCTTAAGGTCCCACTCCATTCTAGCCGCCTTAAAGACTGATTTTGAGGCACGGACGAAGTATCTTACAGTTTCTGTCAATGGCACACCTGTACGCCTCCGCTGGACACAGCCTCAGACATCAGCTTCATCTCTTAACGCACTTGGCAGATGATTGGACAGCCCCACTGACCACATCGGACAGAAACGCTGTCAACCTCTCTGGATGGATTTCTCCCGCTCATAGGTGAGCTCCAATGTGACGTTTCCTTTGAGGACACTCAATTTAAGGGAACACGCTACATACCCAACCATCAAAAGCTTGATTTACTTGGAAATTACTGGATTAAGAAACTCGGTCTCCTGGAACTGCCATTCAACCGCGTTTGCAATAGTGAGCAGTCAACTTGGCTGAGTCCTGCTAAACCACAAACCCCATCTTGCTATGTTTCGCTCGAAAAAGGCATTCCTATATTCCCGGCAAATCGCCTTCAATGCCGGACAACCACGTTGCTGGGCTACGATTTCGACACCCGTTCCAGCCTACAAAAAGCATTGGCCAAGAGGATGCACTCTCGTGCTTTATTTACTTCCGTCATACTGATCCTGGGGACATAGTCATCTTGTCCCACTCCTTTGAGGCCGAGGACTACCATCTATTTATGGATTCCGTTCGCGCACTCTCTGTCATGTTTGAAGAAGTCCGAAACGCAACCCAACAGGATCCACTGTTGAGACAAGTCATCAGGTACCATCGCAGTCAGTGACCCGCAAAAATGTCTGGTAAATTGCAGCAGTTGCACCATCGGCGAAATGATTGTGGTTACACAGAAGCTACAAGCCCGCGTCCTTAGACAGTTCCACAACGAAAATTCGAGGGTCAACCGCATAAAGGCTCTCGCTGACATTTATGTGTACTGGCCTTATATGAACCAGCAACTGGACCAGCCGGCCTGCTCATGCATCAAATGCGCTCTCGCATCAATGTCGTCAGTGAAGACCACAATCAAGGCATGGCCTGTTTTAGAAGCTACATGGTCCACTGTCTACATCGATTATGCTGTACCGTTCAATAGCCAGAACTTCCGCATCGCTGTTAAAGCATACAGCAAATGGCCGGAAGTCATCCTCATGGAACTCAAG